GAAGAACGACAGTTACTGCACCAAGGTGAGTAACTTCACTATATATCATATCCACTGACTTCCCCATGTCCACAGAACCAGTTACCCCATCATAGAAGCTAATCAGATTGGTCAGGCATGACTTGGCCTTTGTGAATCCATGTTGACTATTCCTGATCACATTCTCCTCTTCCAAATGCTTCAAAATGTATTCCTTGAGGATCATCTGCCTCCCAATGATTTTTCAAGGGACTGAGATAAGGCTGACTGCTCTGTATAGTTCCTTGATTTTCCTCCTTCCCTTTTTAAAGATGGGCACTACATTTGCCTTTTTCCAATCATCCAGTATCTCTCCCGATCTCCACGAGTTTTCAAAGATAATGGCCAAAGGCTCTGTAATTATATCTACCAACTCCCTCAGTACCCTCAGATGCATTAAATCCAGACCCATGGATTTGTGTATGTCTAGCTTTTCTAAATAGTTCTTAAACTGTTCTTTCACCTCCAAATGTTGCCCACCACCTTCCGTCAATGGAGCCACGTAAACTAGTTTACCCGGCATAGGCTTCATTAAAATAAACATGTCCATCATGCTGTGCCGACGATCAGTTGATCCGGCAGAGCGTGGCAGTCTAGACACGGATCTGTCGGCTGGGGAAGCCTTTGCCGACCAATCCTATAAACCTTGTTTCACAAGGCATAAGGGATCGGTCGGCAAAGGCTTCCCCAGCCGACAGATCCACGTCTAGACTGCCGCGGTGTGCCGATCTGTATCTAGACTGCTGCGCTGTGCCAGATCAGCTGATCGTCGGCACAGCGCGGTGGCCATGTTTATTTTAATGAAGCGGGGATTATTTAAATCCCCGCTTCTTTGCCTATGCCAGGTAAACTAGTTTACATGGCTCCATTGATGGAGCCATGTAGTCTAGACATACCCTTTGTGTTTAAGCTCACCAAGGATTTCCCCGGAAAGCCAATCTGGTCACCTACCATACTTGCTTTTCTTACTGCTCATCAGGATAGTTTCATACTGTGCCTTTTAAAAAGGTTTCTTTAAAATACTGCCAGCTCTCCTGGACTCCTTTTCCCTTCATGTTAGCATCAGGGTGTCAAAGTCCGCATTTTTGAAGACCAGGGTTTGTATTTTGCTGCTCTTCTTTTTTCCTTTGGTCAGGATCCTGAAATCTACCATTTCATTATCACTGCTTCCCAAGTTACCAACCACATCTACTTCCCCTACTAGTTCCTCCCTGTCTGTGAGCAGCAGGTCAAGTTGTGCAGTTCCTTCAGCACTTGTACCAGGAAGTTATCCCAAATATTCTCCAAAAACTTCCTGGATTGTCTGTGTACTGCTATATTGGTCTCCGAACAGATGTCAGGGTGATTAAAGTCCCCCATGAGAACCAGGGCCTGTGATCTGAAAGCTTCTCTTAGTTGTCTGAAGAAAGTGTCATCTCCCGCATCCACCTACTCTGGTGGTCTATAGCTGACACCAACCACAACATCAGCCCTGTTGCTCCCTCCTCTAAACTTAACTCAAAGACTCTCAACAGGCTTTTCTTCCTCTATACACTAGAGCTTTGAGCAGTCATACTGCTCCCTTACATACAGTGCAACTCCTTCACCTTTTCTCTCCTGCCTGTTCTTCCTGAACAGTTTATACTCTTCCATGACAGTGCTCCAGTCATGTGAGTCATCCCACCAACTCTCTGTTATTCCAGTCAAATTGTAGTTCTTTGACTGTGCCAGGGCTTCTTATTCTTCCTGTTTGTTCCACTTTCTTCCTCACCCGCACCATCAGGGTCGTGGACATGGACTTGCCAATGTACATGGAAGGGATGCAGCCTACCCTTGGCTCTCCTGGATTATGAAGCATATACTGGACACTTGGACCACACCAGGCAACGTTTTAATGCGAGGCTCAGCAGGGCCCGCATTGTTATGGAAGGTGCCTTTGGGCCTTTGAACAGCCGCACATGGAGGCCATTTGTCTGGTCCATCAGGGCTATGCAGATCCAGAAGACCCTGAGGGAGAGTTTCAGTCAAGGCCAGCTCTGAAACTCTCCCCTGGCCTCCTCACAATGGACCTCTTCAGTGGCCCACTGTGCCTTCCCTCTCTCCCCACACAGTCTTCCTCCCCCCTTCTAAAGACAATAAAGCACTCCTGTTGTTTTGAAACCAACAACTGTAACTGGTTTTATTTGGGGCAAACGTGACTGGGGAAGGAACTTGGGGGGAAGTGGGATTGGGAGGAGGAGTTGAGGAGAGGCTCAGGGATGGGGGCAAAGAGAGGTGTCTGCCTCAGGCAGACTTACCACCTCATGTGCGGAGCCCTTGGTGGCCACGGCGGAAGGGACAGGGAGGGGAAAGACAGGAGCGCAGCAGGAGTGGCCCCCAATTGCTCAATGGCAGCCATTAACGCCATGCACAAGGACTGGCCCTGCTGCAGCAGCTCCTGCCAGGTGGTATGCGTCTTCCTGGAGCCTGTGTTCCTGCCAGTCCAGGGAGCGCTGCAGGGCATGCAGGCAGGTAACATATTCCCGCTGCAGGTCCTCTTGGGTCCGCCTTCCCCTCTGGATCCCACAGGGTCAGGAGGATGGAATGGGAGGTGTCACCCACGTGCAGATGGTCCAGCTGTGGAGAACAAAGGGAAGGGCGGTCATCACTGAAGGCACTGTGTCTGAAGCCATGCCCTCATCCCTGAGCTGACACGCGTGTCAGACTAGGGGAATGTGCTTTGAGCAAGGCCACCTAGGGCCTGGACAGCAGGCCCTTTCCTGCAGGGATACCGATGTCCCTGGAGGGAGCCGCAGTATCTCCTCACCCTGGGGACAAGCAGAGATAGGAAGGTGCCAGCCAGGCTGGGAGCCTATGGGCAGGAGAGGGACAGGTGACGCGGCGGCTCAGCTCCCCTCCATGCTGTGCACACATGAGGTCCGGCAGTGGCAGCATCCTGCACAGAGAGAGGACTTCTGTCCGTGCCTGCTGAGGGATAGGTAGCAGGGTGTTTGGAGGGAGGTGTGTGTGAGCGGCAGATGCTGCTTGCCAGGGAGGGTGCTGCTGGGGTCCCCTCCACCGCCTTCCCATGACCAGGTTCCCATGCAGAGGCTCAGTGTCCTCCACCTCATCATGCTGTCCCTGGAAGCGGATGCTGCCCCAGGAGTGGAGGCAGGACCATGTGGTGTGTGTGGCTCTGCTGTGTGTGTCCATGACCGCATCCCCCCCGACAGTGGAGGGATGTGATAGGAGGGGAGTAAGGCAGGCCTGTGCAGATACCTTTTAGCAGAAGCACAAGGGTCCTCGGTAGCCGGGTCCTGGGGATGTGTGCTGTGGACAGGCGCTCCATATGCACCCACATGCACGGTCTGCTGTGCGATTCTCAGGGCGAGAAGGCTGAGTGAGCAATGCCCAGGAACCCCTGGGCACCCACCACTTCCTCTCGTATGTGTGTAGGGTAAGGGGGGCACTCACCTGATGAGCCTTCCCCTGCCTCGTACGGTGCCTGGGAGAAGTCCTGGGAGGGGGGCACCCATTCCAGGTCAGGGTTGGCAGCCCTCGAGACAGTGCTGGCCGCATCTGGCACTGCCTTCTCTTCCTTCTCCTGCTTGATGTCCCCAACACTGTCCTCCTGGTGGGCCACTATGGGTGTCTCCATTTCCGAGTCCACAATAAGGGAGGTTTGCGGACTTCCTCCCATAAATGTCTGTGTTCTTTCTAGTGCGGAGATCCTGTTGATTCTCCTTCTCACCCCAGATCTCCAGGAGATCCAGGGTCTCCTCACCAGATTAGGATGGATTTCACCTCTTTTGCCCCCGGCTAGGAGCTTGAGAGCTGCCCAGAGCTGTGGAGGCAGCTGCTGGGGTCTCGGCTGGGGCGGTAGGCTCAGCCATGGCAGCAGGGAGTGAGGATGGGGCTGCTGTGGGTGGCACTGGGCTTGCAGGGCCTGCTCCGAGCCACAAGCCCTTTGCCTGCTGCTTATAGCTTTAAGGGCTGCAGGGGATGGAGGACTATAGAACTCTGACGACTGTGGACAGAGCATCCAGCAGGGCACCCTGGGATTCCATGGAGGCCCCTTATTTTGAAATAACTGTCTACACACACACTATTTCAAAATAGTTATTTTGAAATAGGCATTATTCCTTGTAAATTGAGGGTTACAGATTTTTAAATAAGCCGCCTGTTATTTCTAATTTATTTTGAAATAACGGGCTTGCTGTGTGGACGCTCACTTTGTTATTTTGAAATAACACTAGTTATTTTGAAATAATGCTGCTATGTAGACATGCCCTTAGATGCCTCTGATAGGTTTCAAAACTTTGTAACAAATGGCTGCTGTGCTCCTTCTATAAAATCTAGACCAGTTCACCAGTTGCTTCCCGAACTGTTACCAGATTGAGGCCCCTGCCCTAAGTACAGTATACTCTTATTACATATAGGTAAGGCGAGAAGTCCTTCCAGTGATCTTCATGAATTCAGCCTCAGTGACCAGGAGCTGCAGGATATTCTTCCGCCATTCCCATGTGGTGGAGATACCCAGAGCTGGCCACTATGGGTAATGTCGGTATCCTGGAATTCCCAATTAGCGGGGGCCCCCTGCACCCCCTGCCTCCCCAGCCACTGAGGGCAGCGGGAGGAACCTATCACTCCTGGGAGGCAGCAGGGAACTTGGAGCAGGCCTCCACAGCTGACCAGCCTCTTCAGGCAATGTGAGGATCTCACAGCTGAGCTCCCCATTTTGTCATGGATATTCTTCGTAAAAGTTATGGGCAGATCATGGCTTCCATGAGTTTTCTCTTTATTGCCCATGACCTGTCTGTAACTTTTAATAAAAATATCCAAGGCAAAATCTTAGCCTTACTTATAAGGCTATGAATTCTTAACTTTTCAGAAACACCAAGACTGTATTAAATGGATCTAGTACAATGTGTTCTTATTTTTAAAGAATAGATTAAATATTTTGAACATTTTAATGTTCTGCTTTTGTTTAAGTGTTTTCATTTATTTAAATTTTATTTTATTAGGTATGGTAAATATTTAAATTTGCTGAAAGATGATGCGGAAAATGATCTGTGCCTGGTGTTAAAGCACTGTGACAAATTTCTGAAACAGCAGCAAACATCTGTGAAGTCCTCACTTCGTATCCTTTCTTGATGACGCAAGTTAGATTGACCAAGATATTAGTGACAGTTGAGCTGTCCAAAGACATTTTTCATTTATCTTATTCTTTGAATTCCTGGTGAAGGTGCAGACTACATAGCATTTTTCATTATCTTTTGTTCACTCACATAAAGAGAAATCCATTATTATCAAACATTTTACATCACTGAAATTAGTACTTGACAGAATAACTATATGATTTTTTACTGTAACCCTCATCCTTCTGTCATTTTCTGTATACTTCTATAGTGCCCAGAGCCATGAGCTCTGATTCCCATTAGGCCTGCTATAGTTTCTTCTATAAATCTGATGATAATTATTAATACTGTTGAACATTCAATCATCTGTAATTATAATTTGATTTGGCTTTTGTTATAGACCCCCCCCCTTGCTTTGTGAAATTGATTAATATGCATAACTTGAAGATGCTTTGGACAAAATATTTCATGTAATGTCTCAGTCTGCTGGATCTGTATATCTTGTTTTGGTGTATGTATCATTCTTGTATGTAAAATTAGATGCATAGAGTATGAAGTGGTTTATGGTTTTACATGTGCAAATGAAAGCCATCAAGGGTGTCTCCTTTAATGTCTAGGTGATCACCTGTAAACAGAAGGGGCTGTTATACAGATGAACACCCAGACATGGAAGGAAACACCCTTGATGGCTTTTATTTGTACATGTAAAACCATAAACCTTTAACTCTTAAGTTTCAGAGGAGTAGCGAGTTAGTCTGTACTGGATAAACTTCAAAAACAACAAATAGTATAGTGGCACTTTAAAGACTAACAAAACATGTAGATGGTATCAAGCTCATGATACCATCTACATGTTTTGTTAGTCTTTAAAGTGCCACTATACTATTTGTTGTTTTTGAAGTTTATTCTTTAACTCTTAGTAGTGGTTGGTCTTAGGAAGTCATGTGACCTCCCTAACTGGTATGGGTTGGCCAGGTAATTTTCCATGAAAAGGAAGAATTTAAAACAGAGAATTCCCTCCTGAAAAAAGAGGCTATTTAAGATGCAAAGTTTTTCAGTCTTGGTCTTTCGATGGCATGACACACCCAAGAGGATAACTGAAGACCCCAGGGAAAATGAGACTTCTCTGGTTTGGAGGCTTAGCTGGAATAAGAACAATTTTAAAGTGAGTTTTAATATGTTTGTGATAAATGTTAGAATGAACTATGCATTTTTTTGTTATTTTAAATTTGTAATTCACTTTGCTCTGCCTATTTTCATTTGCAACCACTTAAATGAAGGCTGATCAAAGGCAATCAAGGTCAGGCAGTTTTTCAAAGGACATTATCAAGGGCCCAAAAGCAAGCTATTCCGCTGTGTAGGAAAGATAGAAAATATGGCAAAAGACCACCTTGGCTTAACCAGGAGATCTTGCATGATCTAAAAATAAAAAAGGAGTCATATAAAAAATGGAAACTAGGACAAATTACAATGGAGGAATATAGGCTAATAGTACAGGAATGCAGGGGCAAGATTATACGAGGGTTGTGACCATTGACGTGGGCTACGAGAGTGAGTCAAACGTCCAGTTTATAAGAAAAAGGGGAAGGTTTCAAATGCAAATTTACATCAGTACAAATAAGTTATACATTGTGATATTTGGAGAGTTATCCTAATAAAATGGCAATTATGGAATTGTATGGATATTTAGGCCATTTTGGCCAGCAGCTGCAGACTCAAAAGCTGAAGGAATGCCTAATATAATGAATGCTAGTGGGAAGGGGGAAGATAAAATAAAAAAAGAACAAGTTAGAAAAGTTAGATACCTGCAAGTCACCAGGGCCTGATGAAATGCATCCTAGAATACTCAAGCAGCCGATAAAGGGGTTATCTGAGCTTTTAGCTATCATCTTTGAAAAATTATGGAAGACAGGAGAAATCCCAGAAGACTTGAAAAGGGCAAATATAGTGCCCATCTATAAAAAGGAAAATAAGAACAACCCAGGAAACTACAGACCAGTCTGTGCTGGGTGGGTGCATAACTGTCTGGATAACCATTCTCAGAGATTAGTTATTAACGGTTCACAATCCGAACAACCCAGGAAACTACAGACCAGTCAGTTTAACTTCTGTGCCAGGAAAGATAATGGAGCAAGTAATTAAGGAAATCATCTGCAAACACTTGGAAGATAATAAGGTGATAGGGAACAGCCAGCATGGATTTGTAAAGAACAAATCATGTCAAACCAATCTGATAGCTTTCTTTGATAGGATAATGAGTCTTGTGGATAAGAGAGAAGTGGTGAACTAGACTTTAGTAAGGCATTTGATACGGTCTCGCATGATATTCTTATCAATAAACTAGCCAAATACAACTTAGATAAGGTGGGTGCATAACTGACTGGATAACTGTTCTCAGAGAGTAGTTCTTAATTATTCGCAATCCTGCTGGAAAGATGTAACAACTGGGATTCCTTAGGGGTCTGTTTTGGGACCAGTTCTGTTCAATGTCTTCATCAACTATTTAGATATCAACATAGAGAGTATGCTTATTAAGTTTGCAGATGATACCAAGCTAGGTGGGTTTGCAACTGGTTTGGAGGATAGGGTCATAATTCAAAATGATCTGGACAAATTGGAGAAATGGTCTAGGGTAAACAGGATGAAATCTAATAAAGACAAATGCAAAGTGCTCCACGTAGTAAGGAACAATCAGTTTCACACATACAAAATGGGAAGCGACTGTCTAGGAAGGAGTACGGCAGACAGGGATCTAGGGGTTATAGTGGACCACAAGCTAAATATGAGTCAACAGTGTGATGCTGTTGCAAAAAAAAGCAAACATGATTCTAGGATGCATTAACACCATGATCACCAACCTGTCGATCGGGAAGCCCCGACCAGTCGATTGCGAGGTGTTCAGGACCACCCCCATTTCTCCCCACCCCAAAGAAGCCCCACTACCTACCTCCAGCAACGAGGGAGTTAGTGCCAGCTTCCTGCGGGGTGGACGGAAATCCAGCAGCTGCACGCCACTTCTGGGGTTTGAGGAAGTGCGTAGGCTGCTCCCCCTCCCCCAAAGAACCAGCGCCGTACCACAAAGGAGGTCTGTGGTGCTCCAGGGACTCTCTGCGTGGGGGGGAGGTAGGAGTCCCCAGAGGAGGCGCATGCTGGGGCTTCCGTCATTCTTCTTCTCTATTCTGCGCTGATTAGGCCTCAGTTGGAGTATTGTGTCCAGTTCTGGACACCACATTTCAAGAAAGATGTGGAGAAATTGGAGAAGGTCCAGAGAAGAACAACAAGAATGATTAAAGGTCTAGAAAACATAACCCATGAAGGAAGGCTGAAAGAATTGGGCTTGTTTAGTTTGGAAAAGAGAAGATAGAGAGAGGACATGATAGCAGTTTTCAGGTATATAAAGGGTATCATTAGGAGGAGGGAGAAAAATTGTTCTTCCTGGCTCTGAGAATAGCAGAAGAAGCAATGGGCTTAAACTGCAGCAAGGGAGGCTTAGGTTGGACATTAGGGAAAAGTTCCTAACTGTCAAGGTGGTTAAATCCTGGAATAAATTGCCTAGGGAGGTTGTGGAATCTCCATCTCTGGAGATATTTAAGAGTAGGTTAGATAAATGTCAATCAGGGGTGGTCTAGACAGTACTGGGTCCTGCCATTAGGGCAGGGGACTGGACTCGATGACCCCTCAAGGTCCCTTCCAGTCCTAGTATTCTATGAAATCCTACTGCTTATACTTAATAAAATCACTTTTATTTATGGTCAAGCCCAGTGTAAATAATTATTACCTGGGGGAGAAATCAGTGTGCATACCCTCCTTTTGTTGTTAAAGGGGGCTTACCTAAATACTTTATTTAGGGTTCTGATTCTATTTGGGGAGTGGTTTCCTTGGAAGCTGGGCCCAAAACTTCATTTTCCTCCTTCCTGAAGTGTTTCTGTATCTGTATTGCTCCCCGGTGTTGGTGCTTGGTTCGGTAAAATGGCAGAAGTCCCAGAGCCTTGAGGCCAAATACCCAGTGAAAATACCGAATGATGGCAAGACAACAAGTTTTATCGAAGAAGGAATGATTTATTAAACTGAACTACTTAAATGAGCAATTACCTAATATTTGCCACACAACAATTGTTAAACCCTACCTAAGTTACAGCTAAGTCAAATATATACACATTTAAAAAAAAAACTGTTTCTTTTACACTGACAATAACAAGGGTAAAAGTTACCACAGAGCAATATATTTTCTAACCTGTTTCCTTTAAACGACTTAACAATAGTGAGGGTAGATTAAATACTTACAAACTCAGCAACAACAACGCAAAGACACACAAGGAATCGGAGCATGCTTGAGATTCGTACACCCCTTTTTAGATTCGGTGGGTGGGAGGCGGCCTTTGGGTGATCAGTCCTAAGCCAGACTCAGATTCTGTCTTCCAATATTCCGGAGTCCTCCCTGAGCTAAGGGCTGAGAGGTTTTTATTTGGTGTTGTTTGTGCTCTGGGAGTGGCATGGGTGTGGTCTGGGTGTGGTGTGATGCCCATATATGGTATTGAGTACTGGACTCTGACAAGCTCCATTTTATTGGTAGATAAGCCTTGTTGCTACCCATGTGACCTGGTGAGGTTGCTGAGGTAGATATCGGCTATAGGCCTGGCCAAGAGAACCTATACTTGACACTCGGGAGGGGGGATGAGTAATCTCAACTCTGTGACTTGTCTGGGGGAGACCATGTGAGCTGGCCCAGCTGGACAGTGTGGTAAGAAGCCGCAGAGAGCAAGGATATGAAAGGCTCTTCTTTGACCACATTCTGTCACAGCTTTGATCTAATCTTTTTTTCATATAATTGTTTCACTTGTTTATATAAAAGAAACACAAAACAAAAATATCTTTGACTGAGTACCCTAAATTGTAATGTGTTTGGATGAATCTTTTATAAAATATTTAAGGACCCTGATAAAACATACTTCATTTTTAAAGCCTTTCATTCTTTATGTTTATTATTTGTTATATTTCCTTGGAAGTTTGGAAGCTACAACCTGTTTCCTTACTGATTTTTTTCCCCACCCTCCTCTTTATTACATTTGTAAAAGTAATAAAGTACAACTTAAAATAAACATTCAAGCAGCTAGGTTTTGGAGTTTTTGTTGTGGATCATGGAAGAATTACATGGGATGGAAGGAAAATTAGGTAGTTCAAATTCTTGGGCCCTAATTTATTATAGTGAATTATATTTCATTTTTTTACTGACAACTTTAATAGACTTTTTATGTTCAAGAAACCATTTTCAATGTAGCTAAACTGATATAAGACAGGAGTTGGTGCTGTAGGGTCTTAGGTCTGTACATCTTAACATTCTATTTGGATTATTATTAACTTTCAGAATCACCTTTTTTATAAAAGTACCTGATTTGTTATGATTTTCAGTCTATTTTTTTTAACGTTGCTGATCCTTTATTTCTTAGAGAAAAGAAACATGCTGGTAAGCCAGCAATAGTCTATTATTTGTTGGAGTTCCTTAACATTCTCCTACAGGTTGTCTGCAGCAAGGTTATGCTGGCTATGACTGGTTTGCATCTTCTGTATTTCTGATAATGTCAGGAGACAGATTAAAAACATTAACATTTCTTCAGCAATTTTCCAGTCTTCTCATCTCCGCATTTCTCTGGCTGCCAAGACTGCATGTTTCTGTAAGACTTGAAAAGATTCTTTTTTTTTTAAGGTGGTTTGAACATTTTAAAAGGAATGTTTATCAGTTCCACTGAGTTATTTCACTTTTCATTAACATCCTCTAACTGAATGATTGTCCCTTTAAAAATTCTCCCAGAAAAATATAGGTTTGACATTTGTTCAAATAGATGTTTAAAGACGGTGAAACAATGGATAGACTAATAGTAATGGCAGTGTTATTAAATTTTAAAGTTGGCTATAAAATAAACTTTATTAGTTGTTTATAATTCTTTGTGTAGAGAGTGTGCACTATTGAGGGGCATTTTTTTATTATTTTTGCCCTGTGAAAGTTCATCATTTTGGTTATTAGCTTTGTTGTATTATAAAATCATTAAAAGGCACAAAACATCAGTGTTATACAGAAAAAATACTAAATACTTTTAGTAATTAGAAATTTCAGTACTGACCAAGTACTGAATGATTCCATATTTCAAATGGCTGGTATTTAAATCAAGCTACTTACTCAAGCTCCATAATTTGAATTATTTGTTCAAACATGATGTTATCTACTTAAAAAAAAAACCCTCTTTTGTCTGGTTCAGTGTTGTACTTTGTCAGGATCTGTGACTGGTGTAAATTAAACTATCAGCTATAATCAGTAACTAGAAAATTGTGGGCTGCTTATATGACTCTCTAGCTCTTTTTTTCCAAAAGGATGTTTATATATTCCCATTAGTTGAACATACCGTATGAATAGCGCAGTTCCAGCACTAAAAAGGTTGGCTTCATTTTGTGAATTTGTTTATGCTGAGCATTCTCCAGGAAAAAGTATAAGGCAGTTTTAGGCTAAAGATCCCCACATGTTGATTAGCTCCACCAAAACATGAAAATGTACAATACAGAACCCACTTCTGTCCCATCACACTGCACACAGGATTTTTAATCTCTCCCAGTATGTAACACTCAACTCAAACTGAAGTCTGACCTGTGTGGAGTGGGAGGTTATACAGGTTGGACCTCCCTAGTCCAGCTTCCTTGGGACCTGACTAGTCCTGGACAAAAGAGTTTTCTGAACCAGGGAAGATTGGGGGGGCAGCCTCCCTACTGGGCCCCCGTGACGTCGTCATCAGGTGCCCCGGGCGGTGGCGCCCTAGGCAGCGGCTGAGTTCGCCTATAGCCACTGGCTGCCCCTGCATGCAACTTCTTGTGAGCCAGGACCTAAAGGAGAAAGAAGGAAAAATTCAAAGTAATGCATGTCTTCACCAAGTGAAAAACACATTACAAATCACACACACATCTACACCGATCATTCCACATTTGGAACATCTCATTCCATTTTCCCATTCAAATAAAACTTCTCTCCTCTCAATATATATTCCCTTCCACATAGGCACATTATACCTGGGCACATCATGACAGCTCCATTCAATTCTTCAATCAATATAGAATTTCACTGTTCTCCTGCTTCTGGTGCCAAACAATGTTTACTTATTTAGTAGTGTCTTTTTAAAGTAAAATCTTACATTTTATTCTATAAGTAACAATAATATGTGTTGTTCGCTTTGTTATCAAGGTACACCTACCTACTGACACAGCAGAATCTGGCATTCATCCAGTCTATTTTTGCAGTGCTCACTACATTGAGATGTTGCTGAAGGCTGAGTTGCCACTTGTCTTTTCAGCTTTCCATATGTCTGGTTTCACGCCATCACAGGTAATTTACAAAAGCATTTGTTAAAAGTTTGACTTCAATCCATAAAATCAAAGCTATTCAGAGAAGGTTGAAGCTACTATGGCTCAGCTATATAATAAGCTATAAAAACCCAGTCATAGTAAAATGCCTAAAAACGGAAGTTTTAGTCTTCATCCACACAAATACAATTTTGAAAATCATGTAACTATTCATTTTGTAGGTATTCTTAAATATAGATTTTTATAGGAATAAAAGTACACAGTTAAAACGGTTTAAAATGGAAAACAATTTACTTCAATGAACCTATACCAGTTTACTTGAGCTGAGAAGCTGTCCCTTCCTGTTTTATGCAAAATCCTGACCAAAAATGTGATGGACTTTTAAATGGAATCATAAGGAGAGTGTGTGTGTGTGTTGGGGGGAGGTAGCAGGGATGGGGAAATCTCAGTGAAATGGTCATTTCCAGTGGGGTTCTAAATTCCATAGTACATTTGTATGATGTATATTAGACAGTTCAGCTTATATTGAAGTTAAAGTGCCTAATGTCTAAAGCAATCATTGCAATTAGTTCAAAAAACAAACCCAAATCTATATATTAATGTTATGTTACGGTTGAGTCCTTTTGTGTGTGTTTCTGTGGTGCTTTTGAAGATGTGAGGTGTCATGTAAGTGCTGAAGCTTCTAGAGATTTATTCAAGATCGTGGATGGACACCTTGGTACTTCTTCACCCCCGTGGGCATGAGAAAGGGTCCTTGGTTAAGTACTGGAAAAGATCAAGAAAAAGTTTTATAGTTGCTCTTGGCTTAGCCTATTAAAAAGATAATTTTGCAATAAAATTGGGGACCTTACGTGTGTTCTTTAGGGGGATGGGTGTGGATGTGATGCAACAATTGATTAAAAGAGAGAAAACTCATCAAGATTTCCAATGTCTGAATTTGATTTTACTTCAGTATGTGAACTGCTCAGGCTTACCCTAAAAAGGGGAAATTTAAAATACTGTAAAAAGTTGCCTTTCAAAGTGAAAGGAATGGACTATTTTTTAGTGAAAAGGGAAGGAATTGTAATAGCCCGATGCATTGGTTCACACCTGTCCTGATCCAGCTGTCATTGAAGTCAATTCTTTCTATCTAGCTTAGTTTTGAAAATGTGTTGTTAGTACTTGTTAGTGAACATGTCCTTACAACAGACCCTTTATCCTCCTTTAGGTAAGTACAGTGAACAGGATCTGGCCCAAATACAGACTAATTTGCTTGAGTTTTGGAGATTCAGAGCATTCACAACTCCCACTAGACTCTAGTTCCTACAGGAGAAATGTTACCATAAAAAAGCTCAGATGAAGGGAATGATGGTCTTAGTATTAAAACATCGGACTAGGATGCAGTAGATCTTGATTCTGTTACCATCTCTCCCAAAGCCTACCTGTGCAACTTTGGCCACGTCTACACTTACCGAGAAGTTTGAATTTAGATACACAGCTTCAGTTATGTTAATCGTGTAGCTGCAGTTGATGTACTTGAATTTGATCTTCCCTCCAGCTTCACAGTGGGAAGTCAGTGGAAGCGATTCTCCCATTGACTTTCCTTACTCCCTGCAAATCGAAGAGTACTGGCATTGATGGGGGTGCCTTCCTTTTTCAATTTAGTATCTTTACTAGACCCGCTAAATCAAATGCCAAATCAACCGCTGCAGCGTTGATCTTCTCTCTAATACAGACATAGCCTTTAAGCAAGTCACTGCATGGCCTCATATCAAAGATGATAAGATCAAGAATTCCCAAGTCAGTGAGAGATGAAGTTTCTTAACTCACCTGAAAATCAGTTTATTCATTTATTTATCTTCAGTTCCACTTCTGTTAAGTAGATACTTCCCTACATCCACAGCGGTATTATGTGGATAAAATTATTGTATATGAGGTGTTGAAATATTATAGTGATGGCCAGTTGAACTACTATTAGTTAAATACATCAATATTGGCATTATCACCCTTGTTGGAAGTCTCTGCAGGGATGTTAAAGACTGAATCAATATGGAGATTGAACTAGCCTCATTGCAGTCCTTCCAGGGTCAGAGTTGAGGCATATTGATGGGGTAGTGTGGAGAAAAGTACTGCACAAGCAACAATAATTCAGGCTATTTAGTGGAATAGAGTTCAGTCTCTAGGGAATCTCACAAACACTGCATTTCTATAAAAATAATAAATAATCTATTGTTGGGGAAATACAAAATAACAATTTGTTTGCCAAATTTTATCACAGTTCATAGTAAAACCCATGGCAAGAATAAGTTTTTAATGGAAACACTTAACTAGAATGCCAGTAGTGGGCACTACTATAATAAGCACACATCCTCTGGCTACATTATTATGTTATTGCAAAAAATAATGCTTCAATTAACTATGAAAACAACTTTAGCATATATAAATGTCAGTATAAAGGAATATATAACTGAATACAATCTCTTTCCAAAGCATAGCTGTTGTAATCTAATTAGAAACACAGTACTTTCTACTGCTGCATATTTTTAAACACTTAGGGGCTGATTAACAAAGGATTTGTGGTCTAGAGCTAAATGAAGTGTGCTGTACACAAGGGATTAAGCAATAGATTGTGATTTAGAAATGGAAAAAAACAAGAGCAGCTAAAGCCTCAGCCTTCCAGACCATTCAATTAAATCCAAAGGTACCTCAGGGAAGGACCTACCATTAATTTACAAGGTACAGAAATCCTTTAATTTAAAGGGAAATACACATTAAGCACACCTTCAAAGAACTCCATGCCCTGTAAAAAAAAACTTAAGAAAATTCTATACATAAAAAATAGGAGGATTTTCTATCATTAGACTCTGAAATTAGTGTTTCATCTTTGAAAATTGCCTATATAGATGCACATTACTGGAATACATGCATTGGGTTTTTTTATATAGCAATGCCCATCTGGGTTGTTCATTGATATCAAATGAGGATCATGGTCTTTGCTATACCTGCATTCCTTTTGACCCTCATAAGCAGTGAGGCCAAACTTCAAAGCTCACTTCATTATTCTTTTTTTTAAACCCTTTTTCTTGTTAGCAGAGCAGCAGTTATTAAGAACAGAATACATTTAGGGCAATTAATCTGTCGGGTTTTTTTCACTTTATGGGTTAATTAGTTTTGCTGTATTGACTTTGTTGGTTAGGACAGCACTGTTAACATATTATTTTTGCATTGTTCCAAGCCAGACAACATTGAGACCAGCATATCTGAAGCCCATGGCTGGCTTTGAATCATCTGATCCTTCCTAGAGCATACTTGGAGTACGTCTAGACTACAAGCCTCTTTCGAAAGAAAGCGTCTAGACTGCAACCTCTTCTTTCGAAAAAGTGAGCCGCTTTTTCGAAAGAGAGCACCCAGGCAGTCTGGATGCTCTCTTTTGAAAAAGCCCTGTTTGCATTCAAGAACGCCTTTTTTCGAAAGAGCACTTTCAAAAAAAGGCGTTATTCCTCGTGAAATGAGGAGTACTGCCATTGAAAGAAAAGCCGCATTCTTTCGAATTAATTTTGAAAGAATGCGGCTGTAGTTGACGCAGGTGAAGTTTTTTCGAAAAAAGGCTACTTTTTTCGAAAAAACCCTGCAGTCTAGACACAGCCTAGGATAACTTATTCTTGTTAATCTCCCAAGAGTTCTGAGTCATATGGGAGACAAGGGTAAACAATTTTTGTTCAGTATACCAACTACATCATGCATTATTTTTAAATGAATATATTAAACCAAAGGTTCTCAATCTACTAGAGGTTCTGGCTAGGGGTAGTTACTAATCGGTGTTATTAATTAAGCAATTAATTACTGTGAAAAATTGAATTTATTTTTGTATTTTTCTAGATTTGTCAACAGTGGCTAGCTCAGTGTTTCTGGAATTACTTGGACTGGAGTGAGATCTGCCACTACATTGCTACATGTATTTTCTTTGGTCCTGATTATCAGATCTATATGTGTATATCTGTATTCAAACATCTACAGCAAGATATTCTGCAGCACACACAGACCCAAGATCTACAGGTTTTTCTCAAAGTAATATTCTTTTTTAGTTTACCAGATTACAGGAAAGATGTATTTTCCAAACTGAAGGATACAGGTTGAACCTCTAAAATCTGGGACAATCTGGTCTGGCAACATTCATGTATTGGGTTGGTGGCGGGCTGGTGGTGGGGAGCGCTTCCCCAGCAGGGCAGTGTGGTGGCACGGTGCAGAGAGTGCAGCCCTGGTCGGGACTGAAGGCAGCAGTGCCAAGTCTTGGCTGGGGCTGGCAGTGGGGAGCAAAGCCCCAGCCAGGGTTGGAGTCAACAGGGCCAGCACCTGGCCCAGTGCTGTGGGGGAGCAGGGCGGCCCCTATCCAGGGTTGGTGCAGTGTTGGGAAAGAGGTGGCTAAACGCAGAGGAGCAGGTGATATGGAGCGCAGCCCCAGCTGGGAGCAGAACCCTACATCCTCTTAGGGAGGCTTGACTTCCCCTTGTCTGGCAATTTCTGTGGTTTGGGACCACTCAGATCCTGAGGGTGCTGGACAAGGGAGGTTCGACCTGTATTATTTTGCCAAACAACTCAGTTTCCAGTATTGATTTTATTTTAGTCTGATTCATTTGTCTCACTCTCTTCTCTCTCTTTTTCATGAGGAACAAAGGGCCTTCACCACTTCTATCATTGCTGATCTGCTGGTGCATTCTTACCTTCTTCTCAAGTCATTTTGATAGCTTTCAGTTATGCTTCATGTTATCCTTGGTTTAACTCAATGCTTAGCAACTCTGGGGGTTTCAGTCCTGCTTATGTTATTCAGATCTTTCTTCTATCTGTGTCTTAGCCATCTCCATTTTTCTTTTATGTAATTTCTGTTTCGCCATTTTCCAGAGTTCTTTATTCACAACCTTTTTTCTAGACGTTTCCTATTGAGAATTTATCTAAGGCAGCTGTTTATGACAATTTAAATAATTTAAAAATAATATCATTATAAGTCTCCAAGTTTCAGTGCCACATATTAAGACTAACTTTACAATGCTGTTATGTATTCAAAGATACAGGACAAGATTTCTGTTTCTTCAGATTGACTTTAGAGTTACAAACACATGTTCTTTCCTCTTCTGGTTTTAATGTCTTTCTCTGTTTCACCCATTGTACTTACAGTGGTGCTAAGATATATGAAATAGCAGGCCTCTTCTTTGTCAGTCTCAGAAATTTCTGTTGGTGTTTCTTGTTATGTATTGATTCTCATAGTTTTAGTTTTCTTGGTGTTGATTTTTCAACCATTCTAACTGTGCAGGTATCTGGCAATGACACATTCGAGCTTTCATTTCTCTGTTGGCATGGGATGGCAAATTGATGTAATCTGCAAAGCCAAGGTCCTACTAACTTCTGTGTGACAGTCCATTGACTGACTCTTTGGGCTTTCTCATTACCCAAAACACTACCAGTAAAAAGATCATAGGTGACATAAGACATTCTTGTCTGATGCTTGTAATCTTAAATGATTTAATTGGTCCATTGCTATATATTACTTAGCACCTAATATTTTCACATCTTTGAATGATGTTCACATATTTCTGAGGGAAATTTCTAAAATAGCACAGCAACATCCATATAATAATTTTATCTTTTTATGGCTTTTTGGAAATCTATAAAATCATTATGAAATGGTAAATGTCATTTGTTCAGTCATTCTATGATGACACATAGGATTACTATTTGATTGATACATGATTTCCCTTGTTTGAGCAATACCTATTTTCTCTTTGAGTGATTGCTCATGTGCATGTCCATTCTCTGTAGTGATAGAGATGTAGCCGTGTTAGTCTGGTGTAGCTGAAACAAAATACAGGACTATGTAGCACTTTAAAGACTAACAAGATGGTTTATTAGATGATGAGCTTTCGTGGGCCAGACCCACTTCCTCAGATCAAATAGTGGGAGAAAATAGTCACAACCATATATACCAAAGGATACAATTTAAAAAAATGAACACACATGAAAAGGACAAATCACATTAACTCACTGGCATTCACCTTCCTTCCCTCCCCCCCCCCCCACCTCTAATATCATTAACTCACTGGCATTCACCTTCCTTCCCTCCCCCCCCCCCCACCTCTAATATCATTAACTCACTGGCATTCACCTTCCTTCCCTCCCCCCCCCCCCACCTCTAATATCATTAACTCACTGGCATTCACCTTCCTTCCCTCCCCCCCCCCCACATCCCCCTTCTGTTCTGTAATGTGATTTGTCCTTTTCATGTGTGTTCATTTTTTTAAATTGTATCCTTTGGTATATATGGTTGTGACTATTTTCTCCCACTATTTGATCTGAGGAAGTGGGTCTGGCCCACGAAAGCTCATCACCTAATAAACCATCTTGTTAGTCTTTAAAGTGCTACATAGTCCTGTATTTTGTTTCATTCTCTGTAGGTGTGCACATGTCGTCGGAAAGGTTTTCCCTTAGCAGTACCCATTGGGTTCGCACGGGAACCCCCTGGAGTGGCACCACTATATCAGCTCATATATACCCCTGCTGGCCCTTCAACCCCTCAGTTGCTTCCTACCACCCTTGATGATTGTTGGAATGTGATTTGTTCTTGCACTTAGCAATTCTAATTGTTCTTCTATTAGCTTTTACTGTGAGTAGTTCTTATAGTGTGTACATTTTTCTCCTTATCTGGTGTAGATAGTTGTATTTTGGCTAGGGGCTCACTTCCCATCTCCGGTGCCTAGTGCTAGGCATGCACGAGCTTCAAGCTCTATGTAAAGTGTCACTATGGGCTGGCTCAGCTACACAACCTGTCCTCGCACCCAGGGGACAGTCCCTCCCAGCGACCTCCACTCCTTGAATTTGTGGCTCCAGGAGGAAGTGGTCTGCACAGGAGTCCTGTTCTCCTGGCCTCTGCCGTCCCTCCGGCTGGTGATGGAAGCATCCAACACCGAATGGGGAGCTCATGTCAGAGACATAAGAACACAAGTTTTGTGGTCCAAGGAGGAACTCTCCCTACACATAAACGTCTAGGAGCTGCAGACAGTCTGCCTCACGTGTCAGGCGTTTCTCCCCTGTTTCAGGGGCAGTCCTATCCTTATCCTCTCACAATATGACAGCAGTCTTCTACATAAACAGGCAGGGTGGTGCTTGTTCCCCTCTCCTGTGTCTAGAAGCCCTTCAGCTCTGGTATCTGTGTATCCAAGAGGGCATTCACCCACTAGCCTCCTACCTTTCTGGGACCTAGAACATCCTGGCGGACCAGCTGAGCAGGTCCTTTGCAGGTCATGAGCAGTCACTCAGAATGGATGTTGCCCTACAAATCTTCTGCAGGTGGGGGTTTCCCCACCTGGACCTGTTTGTGACCCTCCAGATCAGAAAGTGTCCCAGGTTCTGCTCTGTCATGGGACTCAGCTGCAGATCTCTGGGGAATGCCACACTCACCCTGTGGCCCAGTGGCCTGCATTACACATTATCCCTATTTCCTCTGGTTCAGAGAGGGCACAGGAGTTTGAGGCCTTCCTCATCCTTGTGCCGGTGTGGCTGAGATAGCAGTGGTTCACGTCACTCCTCACCCTCTCCCTCGAGAGGCTCATAGCCCTCCTTTGTTGCCAGATGTGACAATGCAGGATTTTGGCAGGCTCTGCCATTCAAACCTGCATTCCTTGCACCTTATGGCTTGTAAGCTCCATGGTTGACAGCTCTGGAGCATCAGTGCTCAGAATGGGTGTGGGAGATTTTGCTAGGGAGTAGGAAGCCTTCCTCTAGAACCACATATTTGGCCAAATGGAAGCGATTCTCTATCTGGGCTACTGAACGGGGATTTTCTCCCATGGGTCCTGTTGGTCCTGGATTACCTCCTCAAACTCAGGATCCAGGAGCTGTCCTCTTCTACCCAGGTCTATTGAGTGACTATCTCTGCTTTTCACTTGGGCTCATGGAGTAAGATGCTTTTTGCTGACCCTATGGTCCACCAGTTTTTGAAGGAACTGAACAGGCTTTACCTGCATGTTTCGTTACCCGTCTCTCTGTGAGACCTCAGCTTGTTCTCAATCAAGTTTACTGCCCCATCTTTGAACTTATGGCAACATGCTCACTACTTCACTTGTCGTGGAACATGTCATTGCTGGTGGCTATCATGTTGGCCAAACGGATGTCAGAGCTCAGTATGCTAACCTCAGATCCCCCCTTACATGGTCTTGTTCAAGGTTAAGGTGAGGCTCCCTCCACACACAGCTTTTCTGCCCAAGGCAGTGTTTCAGTTTCATGCTTCCCAAGACATTTTCTTTCCAGTGTTTTACCTCAAGCCTTATGCCTCTGATAAAGAACAGGCTTTACACATGCTGGATGGGAGGGCCTTAGGCTTTTATTTAAATAGAACAAAACCTTTTCATAAATCCCTGCGGATATTTGTGGCAAATGCTGAGGGGCTGAAGAGCTAGTCAATCTCCACTCAAAGGATTTCTTTGTGGATCACTTCCTATATCAGATGATTTGGCCAGGTTCCAGCCCCTCCTTGATGGCCCAGGCCTCCTCCAGAGCCTTCACAGCTCAGGTGCCTATCTTGGACATCTGCAGGGGCAGACACCTGGTCCTCGGTCCACACCTTTGCCAACCATTATGCACTGGCTCACCAGGCTGGGGGGATGCCGCTCTTGTTACGGAGTTCTCCATTCATTCCATGGAAGATTACGACTCCAACCCCACCTCCTGAGTTTCTGCTTTGAAGTCACCTACATGGAATGGACATGAGCAATTGCTCAAAGAAGAAAAAAATGCTTATTTGTCCCTTATTCTTTGAGATGTGTTGTTCACGTCCATTCCAAATCCCACTCATCTTCCCTTCATCGGAGTAGTCCGGTAAGAAGGAACTGAAGGGGTGGAGGGCTAGCAGGGGTATATATGAGGCAATATAGCAGCCCCAGTCATGGGGGCTCCCTTGCTGGCCCAACGGGTACTGCTAAGGGAAGAAGTTTCCGATGACGCATGCATGCAGTGCGCGCACACTTACATGGAATGGACGTGAGCAACACATCTCAAAGAACAACAGTTACAAAAGGTAA